ATTTTTTCCGTCGTTTTTGGGTTGACATCTGTAGGAAGATCTGTGTGTGTTGCTTCGATGTCCGGTGGATTTGTTGGAGCTGGCCTATTCAGGAGTTCCTCGAAGTACTCTACTCATCTGTTCCGCTGTTGTTGAATTTCAGTGATTGGCCTGCTTTCTTTGTTCTTGACTAGTCTCGGCTTTACTATATTTCCCTGCTAGTTTCTTCATTGTGTCAAACAGTCGTCTCGTTTTTACTTCTGTTGCAGCTTTTCCTGCTGTCGCTGCTAGGTCTTCCACGTACTTCTTCTTTTCGGCTCTAATGCTCTTCTTCACTTGCTTGTTTGCTTCTGTATATTCAGCTTGTGCTTGGACTTTCTCTGCTCGTGTTCGGCTGTTCTTAATTGCTGTCTTCTGTTTATTCCTTTCTTTGATCCTGTCCAGAGTTTCTATAGCGATCCATTCCTTATGATGATGCTTCTTTAGGCCCAGAACCTCTTGACATGTTGAAGCTAATGCTTCTTTGATACTTTTCCAGTTGTCCTCCATAGTAGTTTCTTCTTCCTTCAGTAGATCCTGTTAGGCTTGGAACCTGTTGTTGAGATCTGTCTTGAATTCTTTGAGTCTGTCAGTATCTCGAAGGAAGGCTGTATTGAACCTTTGTAGTGCTGTTTGTACAGTCCTTCTTTAGGTTCAGTTTTAAGTTGACCACAAGCAGGTGGTGATCTGAAGCTATATCAGCTCCTCTCCTGGTTCTCACATCACAAACCTGACATCGATGTAGTTAAATGTGATAATTCGTCAGATGATAATTCAGTTCCTAGATCTCGTCATTCTTACAATCATCAACTGAACCAATGAAAAGTGTTGAATTTCTTTGACGCTAAGATATAAATTAGATGAAAATTTTGTAATAACAATCAAAAAGTGTTTATATCATTCTAAATTAATTTGATGGACACATTTATCCTAGTAAATATTATGAATGTTGTGTTTTAGGAATTAACAACAACATGTGATGTTTGCGTATATACAGTTTATTATTTGCTATCTAGGTTACCTATTATGTGTATGTTCAGAAAAAGTTATAACAAGTACAATGATTCTAAATTGAAAGTTTAAAAATTGTAAAAATCTCGTGATGTTTGAAAACAATCAGTTATAGTCTTAAAGTAATTGTAGCAATGCTGATAAACATAGATTAAGATAACCTCAAGGCGGCTTGCTTGAATATCTGGGCTACCTGTTCCTGCCATCTGGATATCTCAACAAGTTATCTGTTTTCACGCTTGTCTTAACACATCATTATGCCCGTTGTTTGCAAAACCTATTCAGGTGCGTTTGTGAAAAAAATTACGACATTTCAGAAACATCGTGGTTGCTGGAAATATGCATCGAAAACAATATACATTAATCAGATGTCGATTCCCAAACAGCTAACATCTAACTGGCGACCACCCAATATTTATCGCGAGGGTCAATCAAGAAATAAGAAATGGAAACTTGTTGAAATACTTTGTGTTGAGAATTCTATATTGTACCAAAAATATAATATTGAACAAAGCTAATAATAATAAAATAAATGTGGAAATAAGAGTATTCTGATTCTATAGCTGTAGTATGAAGTGACAATACAAATTAATTTTATCTGATTTCAGAATACTCACTCGTATTAGTAGTAGTATGTAGTATTTGATCGGATACAAGAACATGTAAAACAATAAACTTTTGTAGCAAATTATTTCAACAAAATCTGGTGTTTCATTTCTTTCCTAGATTATTCATCACAGAATATAGTCAAACTAAGTTTCAAATGCGTATCCTAATTAAGTAAATAATGAGACTTATTGACTAAAAACAAATACATACTGCATGAAGCCACACCATCGTGCCTCACATAGATTTCAAAGTTTATAGATGAAGGATCTTAAATGGATTGAAGTAATTATAAAAGAATCATTCGTATTTCATCTAATCTCGCAATCACTTGCATTTAGTCTGGATGAAGCACTAAATTGATATACTTTATTGGTGATTAATTGATTGTCTCTCATCTTCATGTGTCCTTTATGGAAACACTATTACACTACCTATCTTAACAGCTCACCGTAACAAGTTTTATCTTATTTTGTTCATTTTTTTCAGTAACACAAATATTTTTATAGAAATTATAAGATTCTATATACAAAATTCGACTGTATATCAAACTTGTGTGGACTGAATTAGCAGGAAACGACAAGTTTATAAATAAATAGCTTCAGGCATGAGAGTGACTCCTTGATATTAAACACTCCTTGTTCTGGTGGTAGTAGAGCTTTTTCCAACAAACAATCAGAATTTTATGGAATAGTGCATCTCTTCAAGCGGAAGGATAAACAAATATGTTCAACCATACACACACTTCATGGATTACAAACGATGACCTTGTTACCTGGTTTTATGTTCATTATGATTAAATAAATGTTTTTCCTAATGGTAAATGAAATTACCTAATAGGTGTATTATTATAAACATCAAGTGGCTGCAATCCATTTTCAATCCCCAATATATAATCAAGAGTCTTATCATACTGAGCTGTTAGATTCACAGATCAAACATTCCCCTGATGTACGAATAATATGAAGGCGGTGAAATAAAAAACATAATTTTCTATCAGCATAAGTAACTAGGTGTTTTACTATAAATAACATAAACTTGATACTATAAAAGTAGTAAAAAAGATTGAGTTTGATGAATAAAACAGAGATTGAAACTACTTTTCTATCAGAACTCAGTATAATGTTTTAGATTAAAGGCAAACAAAATAATTAGATATTAAATAATCTTTGTAAACATTTAAATGAATGAAATCAAAACTTTCTAACAAATATAACAAAATTTAGGCAAATTGGTTTACCGAAAACCTGTACATAGACTCGACTTTGAGTCAGTAATACTGCGGTGTGTGCTACTTATATTGACATAATTAGTAGATGTTAGTCGTGAACAGAATATCTGGCAGCAGAGAGACAAGAGGATCGAACAGTAAAGAATCAAAACAGGATGCAATTCGTATGAAAATGCAAGAACAATGAAGTCTGAGTCATTATGAGACAATTGATAGACATTTAGCAAATTAAGCATTTACTTTATGATTGTTAGATTTTATTAACAAGTCCTGTAATTTTATGTCGATTGGTCAGATAAATTTAGGTGAGCTGGGTTTAGAACCTACAACCAAAATAGGTTGTAGGTTAACACAACGTTGCAATTTTAAACAAAATATGGTAGAAAATCCCCAATAAGTAAATTTATTGCGACTTAGATAAGGTGTTCTGAATGTTTAGCAATTTAGCAAAAAATATATGACCTAAATTGAAAGATAATGGCTATAAAATTTCAAAATTAATGTCAAATTAAGTAAAGTTTCTAAGATCTCGTTATAAAGGAGACTAGAAGAAAAACATTTATCACTTCATTCTGAAGATCATAATCACACAAGAAGAAAATAGATTATCAAATAACTAACTAATTAAAATGTGAAGGTCTAAATTTATATTCAATTTCTTATACGTCAGAGAATCGAATACTGAACAATATTTGACATACACTACATATATATACCAATATAAAGTTCATCCATTTACCATGAGAATCATTGAGATTAAATGCCATAATACAAATAATAAAATCAAATCATGAGAAAGGTGAATAACAAAATAAATCATTGATCTCGGTAATAGGAAAGGACTAGAAAAAATAAAACCTGATACATACAAATTGGTTGATGAATTGATGAACAGATAAATCAAAATTAATGACAAATTTTAAGGAAATTCAAATGATGAAGAAAAATACCTTAGACAAATGTTTGGAAAATGTTATGAACACCCTAGGCATGTTGGAAACCGTAAGCGATTCGTAACCAGTTAAAAAAATTAATCTTTCAAGTAAACTAATGCATACAAAATAATATTTATTCATAAATGTGTTTTTCAGTTTATAAACAAATGACTGTTTGACTGACAAGATACATTGATTCATTTACATATAGACGTTTCACAACCTACAGACTTGGGCAACTAATAAAATATTTTTTCCACACTGATGCAGTAGATTATTAAACGCTTTTTTACAGCGTATTGAACACCGTCCGTTTGTTTATGAAAATAAATATGAACTTTATTGTTCCACCCAATGACCTCTTAATTCCACCATATAAATAACAAAAAATCTGAAAAATTAGATTATCGTTGATTGTAAATAAGAATACGGGATTTTGCTACCATATTAAGTTCACTCATTGTTAGAAAATGTGGGAAGAAAAGGTTGTCTATCATTCTTAATTTAAACATATTCTCAAAACAATATGGGAATGCGGTCCCTTTGAAGTTTCTTGGTTAACTAATTGTTACAAACATGTTTTCAGATAGACTGTAAAGACTGCGGAACATCAATTTACTATTTTTCGAATGGTTTGAGACTTCTTAGAAATGTAAACTAACTAAAACAGATGACTTTGTGTTATATCCCGATAAGAATAATGCATGGTAATTTTGGTATCCATTTATGGACCAATGCTATGAGTATATTTTTATCTTATAATTCTTAAGTAACTGAACTGTTCATATTAATGTTCATCTTATCATGAGCTTTATTTTGACCTATGAAGTATTATTATACCAGAATGGGTTTTGTGGAGAGTTTAAGAAATTTCACAAGTTAATGTCTAACACTGTTGGATGCCGGCTCAGTGGTCTAGTGGTTAAGTGCTCGCGCGAAAAGCCAGTAGGTCCTGGGTTCGAGCCCCGCGTGGTGCGGGATCGTGGATGCGCACTACTGAGGAGTCCCATAACAGAACGAAACGGCCGTCCAGTGCTTCCAGGTTTTTGTATCCTAAATAACACCTAATCTGTCTCAAACAAATAGACGAACAATTTTGTCTAAAGTTAATAAAATGAAAGCATGGTCATCAAAAGAAATAATTGCGTCTTGAATAATTTAGTTAGCATAACGAAACTTTAAATTGTTTATTACTACTTTGAATTTATACGTTTATTCTTTTCAATAGTAGCAACAATAGCGGAAATAAAATATGGATTTATGATAAGTCGGAAAATTTCAAAAGTTCATAGTTATGTACAATTAAATAGTCTTTAAATTCATCACTTGTAAGAAAAAACATTTCATGTTCTCGATCACTTGACTGTGAAAATATATCAGGACCATCAGGATCTCCACAGCCTTCAAGATTATTAGACTCATTTGTATGTTTAATTGTCCTATAACCAGGATGAACCATAAATTCAACGTTTTTACAATTTTCAAAAGATGATAAAGACCGATCCAATGATTCCATTGTTTGACTTTTTCCCATCAGCGCCATTCCAATAAATTTTTGAGTATATCTAAAATGTGATGACAATTATGCTTAATTTAGTTAAACATAAAATGGACACTGAATGAAGTGAATATTATTGAACGAATATACATACTTACGTTGCCTCTAATAACTGATCAATCATGAAGCATGTCCAATTATTTCAAAATTTGCACTTCAGATATATGTGAAATCAATGATAGAAACAAAAACTGACCGGTAATTTGACTGTCAAAAATAGCCTGAATTTCAAACTATAATCATATAGACTGACATACTGACTGACAATTGTACTTTAGATAGGTAAAACCCGACTGGTGATCTGTTGGTTAATCGTTTGCGTATGATGAAAATCAAGATTTCTGAAACTTAGATTACAATTCATGAGTGAATAATGACACACACATAGATATAGAAATGTGTTATTGTGAATAGATTTTTTTCGCCAGCAAAACAGAGTGATTTAATGGCAAAATACATTGCTTTCTTGACAGAAATATATAACCAACAGACCAATACAGCACTTATTCCCAAAAAGAAGTAGAATCGGCACAGTTTGGTGCAAAAACAGCATTTGGGTAAGACTAACTGAGAATTAAGTTCGCACAAAATGTTTCAACATATATAAGCACTAGACACAAGTTAGAAAACATAATCGTTTATGAGGTAACAGACATTCAGTTACAAGTTAATCTTTATACTATGAGTGGGAATTTATGGATTTATGTAGTTTGAAAAACAAAATTCTCTACCTAGAATGCACATAGACGATTTACGCAATGATACGCCTATCTATCAATGTATCGAATGAATGTGTGTATGTTGAATGGTTTAAAACACATTTCCCATTATTTGTATAATCGACCAAAGTACAAAACTAGCAACTTTCAGATACACAAAAATTACCCTCATTCACTCAGTAAATACCATACTACTTTAACTACTGTCTTTAATACAAAAGTCAGACATTGTAACCAGTATATCTACTAAAAAAGTATATCTAAAATACTAAGTGATTAGTTTGAATTTTATTAGGAATAATAAAGTATATTGAACCAAACAGTATATGCATCCGATAAATCTTTAATGGTATAAAACATATGTAGTAAATTCTACCATGAACCAACCATAATTATAATAACTCCCTGTAAATTGAATGACAGCTTCATGCTAATATTTTACAACAGATATTAAACAATCATTACTAGTAAATACATAATACTTTTTAGACGTACTTTAAACTATAGGATGAAAATATTTCCTTTGCTTTCATCGCTTGATCAGATACTTCTCTATAGAAATTTATTTCAGCTAAAATGATACAGAGTTCAATCAAAAATTAACATAAAGTAATTGATAAAACAAAAGAAAAAAAAATGAAATGAAATGAAGAGTACATGTGGAGAAAGAAAAAAGAAAATTATATCCCTCTTATCAATCTAATCTAAACTCATTATTACTAAAATTTATGACTATTCTCACTAGGAATAAAATGTAAAAACACAAATAATACCAGTAAACAAAGTTAAAAATGTGAGATATTACAAATACTAATTAATAATGTTCAGAAGGATTCCAATATTACAACTCTCAGTAAGTAAAGCTAAGAAATTGACAAAGTTAGATACAAACATTATATGCTACCACAAAGTATGAATAATTCCAATGAATAGGCTACTCTGTCAAAGTATACTTGCTTTTAATACGTATTGTTTAGTGCAATTCGTTTGTTATTACCCTATCAATATGTTTGTTTATATGAATGCTTCCAGGTTTTCCATGGTGGTCTAGCTTCAAATGACTCATGATCTCAACTGTTGAAATTGTATGAGAAACGTTGAAAGGTTTCTGAATAATCACCAACATAAGAGCCTAGACTATATGAAGGTTTCTGAATAAAGAATACATGGGAACAAAATAAAATTAATAATCATAAACTATAGAGTATATCAATGAATGATGAATAATCGAAAGGAGCGAGTGAGTATAGCAGCGACTACATCATCTATCTATCTCTGATACCACAGAAAACGTATATCTTCAATGGAAAGTTATTAACAGAAAGTAAAGTACAGGCTAGTACACTATTAGAAAACACATTGATTGAGACAAATTGAGAAATACGTTTGGGTTTTCAAACCTGATATTAATTCTTTTTCTCTTCGAAACATATCAACTATTCATCAGATTACTTTATTATACTTTATTACTTTTAATATTATGCTTCTGTTAATTTATTTACTACCGGTGTATCAACGACAGACATTTTGGTCCCAATACAAAGTTGTTAAACTAATCCTCTTTACTTGGTATATTAAAATTTGCAATCTCGATAGTTTATAGATATTTTGCTTTTCATTCTACAAAATGATGCATAGACTAAATAGGGATTAAATGAATTTCTTTATAGAATGAGTTCTAAACAGGAATATAAATTAATGAGTGTAGTCAGTTCTTCACAATATTCGATTTCGTCTACTGTAGTTTATCAAAAATTAATAAATAGAAATTCATTATATCTCACTCTTCAACATATTTGCTAAACACAGATAAATCTAAAATGGTGCATTATACAATAGCGTGTAGGTTAATAATAAATTGTATATGTAGGCTGTTCAGTTTATTATGGTCGTCCATCTTGTTCATTATATTCTGTCAAATTGTTTCTTTATAAATTTCTGTTTTTCTTCCCCAAGGTAACAAACTACTGTTGAATTGCATGTGACATATAGGAAATAAGAATTTTTACCACTTCATCGTTTTTCATGTAGTGATTTATAAAATATACATTTTTCATACAGAAATTCGAAATAATAAAAAATCTTAGGAAACTGTTCAATAATATTTGCGTCATAGGCATAAAGGCATGAGCTTAAATGTGATCATATTAGATAAACAGAAAAACAAAACCCTTAGTCGACAATTTCAAAATATTTACTTAAATTTGAGAGCAAATGAAAACACAAACATGTGATATCAATGCGATAATTATGTTGTAACGCAGAAATAATTCACAGTTGTTTGTTTACGACAAGGCAATAACAAACAAATGTACATTGATAAAGAGTACATTAAGACCTTTTAACTTGATGAAATAAGAAATTTTGACCAGATGAAAGACTAGATATCCAGGCTCTACCAAAGGCTATGAAATGTTTCGATGAAACTTTGACAGGTAACATTACTTATCTAAATTAACTTATGATATAAGAAGATTAATTAGTACGCGACGAATCATAAAAAGTACTTCATAGAAAAAGTATTATTTTTCGACATTGATTCTCAGAAAACATTCTTATGTAGATATCCCTTAAATAGAATGGTTACTAGTTAACAACAACTGAACTCTGATGTTAATTACAGAATGTCGCAATTTCTAATTCCAATCCGTTTCGGGTGTAAGACAACCATCCACCCAGACAAGAGATGAAGGGTTTCGGAACATAGTGGAACGATTGAAGTTGGACATTAGCATCGTTGGATATTGACTCAATGGTCTGGAGGTTAAGCGTTCGAGCGCGAAACCGAAGGTTTTTGTTTTCAGTACCACGTGCAGGATCGTGATGTGCACGGCTGAGGAGATTCGCACTAGGACAAAAATGTCGTTCAGTGGTTCCACGTTTCTGATAGTGGTCCAGCTTAAATCGACTGGTGAATCCAACTGTGAAAGTTCTTAAATAGTCAGAACTTGATTAAAAAAATCAAACATAAGAGCATTGATCCCACTTTATTATTTCTTACTAATTTCATTAAAAATTTCACATCACGGTCTTCCACTAAACATTTGACCGAATTTGTAATTACACTATAATTCCTCTTATCCTATCTGACCCACATTTATTCTGATCATGAATCTTTAAATTTTACTCAACATATGATCTGATTCCGTATAAGTCATTTCAACATTAACAATCCTAAATTCACACGTTATAACTTTAAACGATGTACTTTGTCATAAACCTGGCCACTTTATAGATTATTAGTTTGAATATATAATTGTAGGACCTGAAAAAAATTTATTGAAAAGAATATTCTTCGCTCATAGATTCGTCTTTTAATATGATAGGGATTTTTAAACAAGTAAAAATAACTTTCTAGTCCTCTGATATTTCCAATGATTATATCAACTTTTGGTGGACAGTTACTATGAAATTTCTGCAGGCACGTTAGAACATCTTTTATATTACTGGAGTACACTAAGGTGGAGTATTTTAGTATGTCACAATCAACATTAGTATTAACAACAGATATCAGGTTAAGAGTAAATGTCGAGTAATCCCAAAAGCACGCATCCCTTTCATGTAATAAGTCAGACGAAAGGCTTTCTTTGTTAGTAATAAAACATAAGAAAACCCAGAGTGATCAGGAGAAAAACTTACACCAAGATAAATGACTTTTGACAGTTTTTATCAAGAATCTCTAATCATACAAGCTTTATGGGATTATCGCATCTGACCAACTCAATGTGCATTTACCAATTTACCTGCTCATGTGGAGCTAGGTATATAGGTCATTCGATGCGTACTTTATCCAAAAGAATTCAAAAACATTACCCAGCGTGGCTAAGAAGAGGAGAAAACGGTTCAGTAAGAAGTTTAATAATCGAACACCTTGTGAACACAGGTCACTCAATGAAGACAGACTCTATGTTCAAACTCATCTACAGTCAGTCAGTCACTCAGTAACAACGTAGAACTTCGTACGTACCTACATCAGTTCGAGTTGTCACACCACATTAGCACAGAGATACAGTGATCGATTCAAATCCCGTAGTGGTAGAGGTAATGAGAGTATAAGCAGTAATCGGAAGATTAGTGTTCAAAGATGTTACTTAAAGAGTATAATACAGTGAAATAAATTTGGGAAGAAAAAAAAGATAAGGGGGAATCAGGAGATCAAAATTTGGGAGAACACAAAGAGTGAATGCACCTGCGCCATTGCAAACGATTTTGAGCCATGTCATTCAAGGTCTCTAACCATCGGTTGCTATCATCTCGCGGTCCCCAACCAGGTAGTCTACACCTACCAACATGACTCAGTCCACTTGTCAGTGACTTCATGGACTTGTGCCATGTTTTGATCTGGCCGCCCCTAGCTTTCTTCCAACCTACTCCTATACCACTGAACATCGCACGTCGAGGCAGTCGGTCGTTGGGCATACGTAACACGTGTCTCAGCCATCTCAACTGATGAAGTTTGACCACTTCATCAATTGATATGCCATCCTTACCTAGTACCCGTTTCCTAACAACTGCATTACTTACTTGATGGTCCCAGGATATACGAGCAATATTTCGAAGACACCTATGATCAAATACTAGTAGTCTACGAATATCCTATACTCGTACCGGCCATGTTTCACTTCCATAAAGTAGGACGGAACGGACTGCTGAGCAGTAAACACTTATTTTGGTTGATAGACGCAAGTTGGCAAAAGCTAGTCGAGCCTTCTATATCCGTGCTGAGATTTCGTCACACACCAGACCACAAGGGCTGATGAGACTTCCAAGATATGTGGAGCGATCGACACGTTCAATTACTTCACTCCCTATCATTAATTCGGGTGTTGATGCAACCCAATCCTGAAGCAACATTTTGCATTTCGAGGGAGAGAATCGCATCCCGAACATGCTTGCATTGTTGCTTAGAGTGGTCAGAAGACTTTGCATTTTTTCAGCGTCTTCGCCAAATAAAACTATGTCATCAGCATATTCTAAGTCAACAAGTGAACCTCCCGGTAGAAGTTCAACCCCTGGAAATTTAGGTGAGGAAAGTGTTATCTCTAAAATTCATCTACAAGGTATGTAGAAGTCTTTCAAAGGCAGTCATATTGCATCTTCTTTCAATTGCCGAAACAATAGCCATAAATCTGGAAAAATCAGAATTGTGTGTGCAAAAGAGATTAGTACAATGTCTTCTACCATGGTCTTAATGTCCAATATTTTTGTCTTCTTCCTTTCTTCATACTCTTCTTCCTTTACAGTCATCTGCTTCACCTTCCACCTTCTCCTTAAACCTTTTTACCCCCAACTGGTTTGTTTATTTCTACGATCCTCCTGATTACATTTAATCTCAATTTCATCATTTTATCCTATCATACTGATCCATTCTTTTGCAATGATAATTTTCTTATCTATCTTTTGATGAATACTTAAGCCATTAACTATCAAACACTTATTAAGTTTTAAGAAAAATTTGATACCTTTGTTTATTGTACCTCACTGTCACCATGTCTAAGAGAAGTTTATTATCAGTATTATTATAATTATTATCATCCTGAAAAATAAGTATTTATATTTGCGATTGTACAG